AATTTCAGGCATATAGATTGGGAAATGCAAGAGTCAAACCCATGAGGGAGAAAGGTTTTTGGAAACTGTTCAAAATGGTTTTCTTCACCAATTAGTCAAGGAGCCTACTAGAAATAATGCTATTTTAGATTTAATGTTAACTTCAAATATAGAAATGATTGAAAGGGTGGAAAAATTGGGGAACATATGGGTGCTAGTGATCATTACTCTATTAGCTTTGGTGTTTTGCTACATATGGAGATAAGGAATAATGATATTTTGGTTACAATTTTCAAAAAAAGCTAATTTTGAAAGAATGTGACAAGAATTATCTGTTGTGAATTGGGCAGCTGAGTTATTTGGAGCCACTGATCAAATGTGGAAAATGTTTAAAGATAAATGTTTAAATATTCAAGATAAACATATTCCTTATAGTAAAAAAAGGGTGGCTCCAAGTAAAAATTCAGATTGGCTCACAAAGGGTATAAGCAATAAAATTAAAGAAATTTAAATTGACTGATAGTATTGGAGACTTAGAATGTTATAGAAGATCAAGAAAGTTGGTCAAACAGGAAATTAGGACATCAAGAAGGATATATGGAAAAAGGTTGGCTGAAAATGTAAAAATTAACAGTAAAGATTTCTTTAAATACATTAAGAGTAAACAAAATGTTAGGATGGGGGTAGGACCCTTGATGGATGACAAAGGAAGAATCATATCTGATGATTATGAGATGGATGGGTTATTAAATTCTGATTTTTCTTCAGTTTTCACTAATGAAGATTTAAGCAGTATTCCACATCTTGAACAGCTGATAAATAGAAACAAGATGACTGCATTAATTCTGAGCTTGTTAAAACAAAATTGGGAAGTTTGAAAAATAATTAGCCTACTGAGCCAGATAATATTTCCCCAAGGGTTTTGAAAGAGGTTTATTTAATTAAGTAATGCACAAAGAACATAGAATAATAACAAGTAACTTGCACATCTTCACTACTAGCATCTTTAAAAGTACATACCAGTCCCGAGTTCCCAAATAAGACCCACAACATTAAGCACTACAAATCAGTTTGATAAATATGATAAGCTTTATAAATCTGTAAATTACTTTATAGTTCTGAGGTACTTAATTAACACTTAGTTTAAATCAGAAGTTCTTAATAACCACCATTTGAAACATAAGTTATTCCATTTGGATTATAGTTTTTTATGGATTTAGATTTAACGATTTTTCTGAAAACACTTCTTGACTGTTTTCCTTTCAGTATATTTAGCTGCTCTTCCAGTATGTTACACTAATACAATGGTTTCCAACCTGAAAGGGGGAGGAGGAGATTTTAGAACAGCCTTCAAACAAGATGATCACCTGAGGTAACTAAAGTTTTAAGGTGGCTAATAATGAGGGTGAGAAAATAAATTATTGGGCATATATTTTTGACTGAAAGAAGTCATTGCTACAGAGATTTGGGTGAATACTAGGAATGGGTTATATACTGCAATATCTAATAATGTCAGAATGGACATAGTAATCCAAAATGGTGGTGGCAACATTAATACTCTCGCTATGGGCTCGTTACCCCAAGTTGATCTTTATAGTTTCCAGACTATAACTTTTAATATGCTTTGTGTATCTTCACAAAATTTCACAAGCTTTCAGTAACCACTGAGAGTCTTCTGTAGACAAAAAAAAACTGAATTTTTAATGAAGTATCTTTACTAAAAATTTCTCAATGAATATATGGAGTCAAAGTGTTAACTGCTCTGAGTGCAAAGTGATTTTCATTTTCAGATTAAAAATACTTTATCTGAAAATTCTCAATTTTATTTGTGTATTCTCTAAAACCTCCTAAATAAATTTCAGATGTTTTTTTCAGTAAATCTTTATATTTTATCTGTTATTTTCTCTACCCTAACTCTATATGAGATTGGTCAATTTGACCAACCTTGTAACTACCAAAATAAAATTTGAAATAAATCTAAATTACCCATTTTTTCTTTCTAGAATGACTTCAGATTGTAACATAAAACTACATTTGTTCATCCTAAATAGCCTTAAATTTGTATCAGTATACATATGTTTCTACTTAGATTTTATTGTTTTATTTCCCTTTGAACTGTGTTGAACTAATATTCCTACCAAAAAAGTTGTAAATCACTTGGCAAGTTATCCTATCAAATTATAGTATTACATTGGCTGCTAGCGAGTTGCTCACAAGCATACCTCTTCAGACTTTTTTTATTATTATTGTTGCGTCAGCGAGGTCATGTGACTCGTTCTCTCGAACCTTCGGGAATTGTCAGGAGATTAATAGATATAGGGTAGTCTGGTATATATATAAGAGGGTGACAATGTGACAGGATAATAATGTGTGTGTAGACAGTGAGTAATTGATCTTCAGTCAGAGAGGATTATTGAAGTTGAGCACGTTCGTTGTTATAGCGTTTGTTTTAGAGTGATTGTTGAAATTAAGTGTATCGTAAAGTTATATTTGGAAAGAATAAACCAGTTTTATTAAGTAAGGACGTGTGTCGCTAAAGTTTCGTTGGAACGAATTTACGGGAAATCAATTAACAATACAATACAATAATAAATAAAAAATACACATGAAAAACAAGAAACATTGTACTTATCTGGGTTTTCTTTTTTCTTTGCTGTCGACTTTCAATGAAACTTAACCCTACTTTTTTCATACTAATGGTACTACTGCACTAAATAATTTTTATTTAATTAAATAATGCACCAAAGAACATAACATAATAATACATAAAAAAGCAGAAAATATTCATTAACTTTCAAAATTTTTCTGGCTTTCTAACAATGCAACAAGAGCCATTAAAAATTTAGTTAAGCTTATCGATGTGATTTTTATTGGAATAAAATATGAACTGGAAGCAAAATAGACAATTCTCTGTAAAGAAAACAATGTAATATAATACATTATTTGATAGATGAACACTTTGGCTTTCTATTGCTTATAAGTAATATAGTATTAAACATCATAAAGAACTATTGGCAAATTGTGAAAGACAGGATGTGACAGGTAAGCATGGCAAGAGTGGTCTGGTTTTCTAGTTCATGGCTCTGTAACCAATTAAGATTAAAGACTATAAAAATTATGCTTTGCCTGTGTGAAGACATTATAATGAGTAACTTGTGTTAAATTTCGTGCATCTCGGAGAGGTGGTAAATTAATTAGTGAAGAGGGGGAAGGCTTAGAGAACAAATGTCACAATTCTCATACTAGGGGAATTGAGGATTTTTTCTTAATATTGCCTTATAAAATTAAGAATTTGAAACTTATATAATATTAAAATTTGGATTATTAGTTACATTTTGATGCCAAGATTATTAATTAACTATGATAATAAAGTACTTTAATTAAGTTGTTAATGTAACTCAGTAAAACCTCATGACATGCACAGAAAAAGATGCCCACATGGAAAGGTTTAAACAGTTACTAGAGTGCCAATCATAGTAACATTTGTAGAAACTATTCAAATGCACTCTGTATGAACTTTTTACTTTAAAAAATTAAAACTTACCATGCAGTAGTAATGTAGAGAAAACTTCTCTCTATGAAATATTTGGCCATAGCGTAACTCATCATCTTCTTTCAACCTACAGAAAATGCACTCTGAAAAATAAAAAAAAACATACAAAGACCATTACTGCTAATTAAAATTACCATGACAACATTTCTTCGGCACAAAAAGAAATCACAAACACAATGACAAAACAGGAAAACCTGCATTATTGTTTGAACTCTGCAATGAACAGAAACTTTCAGCTACACTGAACCAGGTAACCAGGGATGAAATTCTGCCAGTACTCACTGGTACTGAGTACCAGAACTTATTCTTACTCCTAGTATCAAGACTTATTTGAACTGCTTTGTCACTTTTTATGTTTACATATAGACTTTTTTTTTCTTCTTCAAAAGCAGGTCCACTTCACTCAGCTGTGTACCTTACTTTTTTTTTTGAGAATTTCACCCCTGATGATAACTATTTGTACCAAATGTTTGTTACATTTTTAAGAAGACAAAATAGAAATAGATTCAAGTAGCATGTACAAATGATGATGGCAGACTTCTGACATTTTGATCCTTAAGTAATCAGGAAGGGTCCATATGTGCCCCAGTTCTCAAGTGAATAAATCTCCAAAGCGATTTTTTTCTTGGAAAAGAATAAATAATTCAATTCAAAATAAATAAATATTTCTCTGTTTGCAATGGCTTAAACTAGCAAGGAGAACTAAAGTGCATGTAAAGATGAAGCAAGTACTTAAGGATTAATTCAAAGTAACTGTTAGATTTAGATAAATATGTATGATTAACTGGTCTTGTACAAGTTACCTGAGAGCATGGTAAAATATCTGAATGGTAAGTCTTACTAATAGCTAAAAAATTTGTTTGAATATGTTAAAATTCAATATATCAGATGTATTAAAAATTGTTAATGCACTTTTCTTAATTAATATATGAATTTTTTTATAAACAGCCCATTGTTTAGTTATGTGCTTAACAAGAAACAAACTTTTTTTTTCCTGGATAATTAAACAATATCTACCTGAAAATGGTATTTTTTTATTGATGTTCAAGTTCTTCTGTGACATATTTTATTTTGTTGATAACATAATGTATTCTAATTTATGATTCACTCTGTTTTTACCATTTGTTACAATTTTTTTTTATAAGTTTTTCATTTTTGTTAAAAATGTATTTTAAATGCTGTATAAATATACACATTTAATAGATTTAATTGTTTGTTATTTTATATGAAATACATGTTTTTTGTTTTCTTTCATTTTCAATTCAGAATATTTCTTCGGGTTATTCATTTGTATATGTTAAGCTCCTTTAGGGTTTTACGCATTTAATTCTTCACAGGTACTCTGCTAAATATAGACCAAAATGTGTTTTGTATTTTCTTGTACATATGATGTATTTGTGATTAAGGTATTTTCATTCAGTTAAATCCAATTTTAAGTGTCATTGTTAATGTTAATCCTATCCTTATGAGTGAGCACCTTGAACTTTGAATAAATATAATAAAAATTGTTAGAATAGTTATTTAACTCAAAAACATTTTAGATTTGATATTTTGTTATTTTATAACAATTATTTAGTATAATTTTCAAATAAAAATTGTTCCAACTTTCATTTCTCTACCACTCTGAGGAGTCTTGTCTGTAAACAAGTTTTGTTTTCATAACTTTTCTTCTCATACCAAAGTTTTACTTGCCAATCAACTATCATCCCTTGAGAATAATTACCCTATTTTGTTTCTCATATGATTTCCCTTCTCTGTTAGTCGTTTGAAACCATCTAATTCAGCTCAAGCTTATATATTTCAGGCAATTCAAAGTTATTTTGAGTATTTTGTTCACGGTACAGGGTTTTTAAGACTGTGATATACCACACAGCAATTTTCAATAATTGTGAACCCTGGATTTACTCTATTTTTGTACGTTTGTTAACTGACATTGCATGTTTTGATATTTTTGCACTGGCTTGAAGAAAGGTTCACTGGTCTAATAACGTGTTTGATCAAGTAACCAGATTTCATCACACAAGGTGCATGACTGTATTTTCATTTGCTAAACTTTGCTTCTTGATTTTTCACAGGTGTGCAAAAGTATTAAACCTTTTGATATGTACAAGATAAATATGCATAAACTACATAATGTAACAATGTGTGTGTGTGAGAGAACGAGAGTGAAGACCTTTAAAAAGTTTCATGAGATTATTTTTCATCTAATTATGTGAAATGCAGTAGTTATAATTTTCCTATACTGAAAATGTATTTCCGATAGGTACATATCTCCTCTCACAAACTTAGCTATTCTTGTTCAGTGCTGCCCTCTATATGCAAACTTTTTTTTATGCATGCCACTGGCCTTCTGCTCCCCCCATATTGGAATTGAAAGATTCCAATGTGTCTCTCATGCAGATCATCATGCGTCACTTCTCCACCAATAGGAGCATGACATACTCACGTCATGCATGTGACTCCCTCTATACTCCTCTACCAAACTATTACTTCAAAGTTTAGCATAAGACTTAAACAATGGAGGAAAGGTGGGAAGAGTGAGAGGAGGTAAGTACCTATCGGAAATGCATTTTAAGCATAGGAAAATTATAACTTCTGATATGGTACTTACCGCCTCTCACAAAGTTAACTAGAATCCCACATTGAATAGGAGGAGGGACCGGTGCGAGGGAATGATAGAAGTACCCCCCCGAAAGCATCTGAAGGATACCCCTGGAAATGAGAGAATCAGATCCGAAGATCAGATGAGGGGAACTGCACCACTTCTGAACTAGGTATATTCTTCATCCCTCTGTGTATTGTGGAAAAGATAAGGGCAGAATAGGAGAGGAGCACATATAAATGAGAAAGAACTGTGTCAGGATAATGATCCTAACCATATAAAATATTTATAACTCAATTCCATGAATAGAATATTGGATAAAACAATGGATGTGCCCTCAGGTGTAGAGTGGTTAGAGCATAATGGACCATACTTGATAAGACAACTACATCCTAAACCCATGCCGCTGGGAACCGATATCCATACGGGGTTAGGATGAGGATCATACTGTCTTCACCTCAAACCCAAGAGACGGGGGGGATTGAGAATCACACCATCTTCCAGGTATGACACAGGTATCAGCACTGAGCTATCAATATGGAGACCCTGACATCTGGTATTGAAAGAATGGCTATCACATGCAATAAACTCCCCCAACTGGGAAATGTACTGGAACCATCCAAAAGACAATAGAATCCCCATATTAAGATAGGCTGAAGGACAGTCAAAGGACAGAACTGTAACAATTGCACGTGCCACTTCTGTGATCCACAACACAGACAGAGGAAAATCGAGGGAGGAAGATAGACAACCTGAAATATATGTGAGGACATATGTTGATTGGTTCTACTCTAAATCCAACACCCAGCTGCAAGGGTAGGATGATGGCTCCCAATCAAAGGGGTGAACTACAATTTGACGTATCACTCCTTCATAATTTTTTTTGTGAGGGTGGCAAGGGGAGAACCTGGTCCCGGTTGACACCCAGCCCCGGCCAAAGCTTAGTGACTGGGTACCAGGACCCAGTATTCGGCTAAATTTTACTACCTGTGCATCCCTAATTGAGAGTAAATAAAGTCTGCCTTGCACTTTCTTTAACACTGTATTCGATATACTTTATAACTCTATACAACATTCTCTGTCATTCCCCTCCTGTTATTTGCAGTTACAACTCTTGCCTGTAAAGTAGTCAGTGCACTTGAGAGTACAACATGAGAAGTAAATTATATCTTGTGTGGACTAAACCAAGGCATTATCATAAGTCAGTTGATCTTTGTGAATGTGTGTGTGTTAATATTAGTCAAGGTCTGACATGGAGGTATACATGAATGTACCCTGCTGTAATTAACTTTATTTCATAGTAATGAAAGTAACTAAGATACTGCTAGGATTCTAATATACATATGTACATACACTGTAAGCAATCTGAAATATGTTAAGTGAAAAGCTTTTGAAGGATACAAATAATAACTAGAGTAACAGTAATATAAAGAAAACCTGGATGTACTAAACTCAAAAAAGAGAATTTATTTACACCATAAATAATATGTTTTTCCTGGTATTTTGCATACGTGTATCCTAGCTAATTCCCTAATTTTCTTTAAGCAATTACTTAGAGCCTTGAAACTTCCTGCTGCCAAACATAACCAATCCCAAGTGTTTACTCACCTTAAACACATAAGCCTTATGTACCACCTTCACAGCTATACTGTATGCTTAACTGTGAAAGTTTGTTGTAGCATCTATGTATCACACCAACAAAATGTGTGAAGAAGAATAACATGCACATTCAACAACTAGCTTAATGTATTTCAGACAAGGTTAGTTTAATATCCTGATTCATGTTCAGACTTGGTTGAAGTAGTTTAATACATAAAGATTCCTTGATCCAAAGTGTTCCCTTATTTGAACTATATCCTGTTATTTTAAAGTGTTGGTTGTCTACTGGTATTCAACATGTCTAAGCATGTAGTTGGACAGAGGACTGTTTACTTTGCTGGAGTTGTGTGTTCTTTAATGCATGTTATATATTAAATTATTTCAACCAAGCCTGAACATGAATCAGTACATTTTAGCATTAAGGCTGAAACTTCAAATTGTTATCATCAGATATTAGCTTAGTATGGTTGGTAAGAAAATGGTATGCCAGATATATTCATTTCTGAACATATTTTTCTTTTCAATAACCAAGAAAGTACTTGCAAAATACCAGGAACTGCATTCATCACAACTGCTGCTATTATTTGACTGCAGTATATAAATTACCTGAATGGAGGGCAAACTAGCTAATTTCAATTAAAATCAGTTATAATAAATAAACTACAACGAAGGCAAATTTATTGCAATAAGTATTTACAAGAACTACCACTGGTGAGCATGGAGAACGATCTCAAGCAGACACGTGCAGCCATCTAGTTAATGATCTATGTAGCCTGTGTTAGTGCACTGGTCCTAATTTAAGTTTTGTGCTTCTCTCATCATTCAGTGGACGGTGCTTAAGAACATTCTGGATGAATTACTGGTGGTAAGTTATTGATTAATACTTACTTTAATTCCAACTATTATTTTGTTTGTTAATTAGTAATTTTTGTAAACAGGTTTACAGTTACACACCGACATGTTAAAATTTTTCTTTTAATTTTATTTACTATGGTTCCTTCATTGTGTAATTAGGACTTTTGGCTTTTTCTTTGGCTATAAGTTTTTAGTTTTATTGTACTTCTATAACATTTGTTTCTATTACTTTTACATCCATTTGTCCTTTTACACATTACCTTCCACTACCATCTGTTCCCCTAATTGTTTAGGGTGTAGTTGTAATTATTTGCAACAATATATAATTTTTCATTATCTAAACCATTCTTGACAAAAGCCTGTGTATGTGTATTCATTTATAGCTGCCAAACCATTGGACGGACTGTCACCAAACCTGGCATATATATCCTGAAGTTCTCCTGGGAGTAGCATGGGGAAAAGGGGTTGGGATTTGGACCTGCCACCCCCAAGTCACCTCCCAGGGCTCCTATGCCCATCCTGTATGTTGAACAAGAATATCAGCTAGTATTTTATTTATTAAGTATGAAGTACCTCACAGTTGTGATGTGTCCATATCAGACTACAGTTACATGTAGGTTTTTACGGTGTGAGAAAGGTCTTTGTCATCAATACGTGTGCTTAGTTGTAAATATTTTCTAAAAAAAGAGGTTTGTTGTGACTACAGTCATTATTTAAAGGTACTATAATTTTGTTTAAAAATGTAATTATGTTTGAACAATATGACTATGTAACATCACTATACTTGTTTTGTTACTTGACAGAGCTTTCGTTGTAGGACTAACATGTATACACTAGTACCAAAGAAGTAGATGGGAGGTTACTGTGTTCAAAAAGTAGCATGCACTGCAATAGTATTTTGTTAATATTAAATATTATAGTGTTCACATTAGGTACCAAATACTGAACTTTATGAATTTCTGGCTAAAGTTCTATATAGTATAGAAGTTTTACTACATAAATTATTATCTGTAGCATTTTCACACAGTTTTTATATTTGGAATCCACCTTTTTCTGATCATATTTTTTCTTAATGACTCATCAGAAGTTTTGATTAAACTTAAAATATGCTGCTTTCAAAAATTAGATTTGTTTTATTTTTCTGTTACTGGCTAATTTGCATAATTATGTGAAATGTATATTTTCTTACACACTAGTTTCCCACTTCAACTTTTTGCTCAATATATTGGATTTTGTTCAAATTTTGACTTAAAATATGTTCAAACTGGCTAACCTGAAACAAAATGTAAAGTACTTCTGGAACACTGGCAATTCAGTCTATCACAATCTGTCTAATTTATGAATCATGAAATCTGCCAAATATTTTCTTTAATATGTTTCAGACAACATAAGTATCTCAAGATATTTCACTCTCTTTCAAGTATCATTTTTTTTTACTTTATGCTACTATTTTATCTATTACTAAATTCCAAGTTTATAATTAATAACTTAAGATATAAAAGTATTGTTATTGCACAGATAAGATTGTCTTGGTTATGGAATGCTAACTCAAGTAATGGGGTAAAAAAACTAGTTTAAACACATCTGTTCCAATATAAAGCATGAATACATTGTATAATTTTTACACAAAAATACATATACAGCCATAAATAAAAAAGTGATGCCTTAATCAATGAATACTAGAAGTTTGAATATGCAAACTTTGGTTTTAAAGACATTTTTAATTAGTCCTACTGTTGTATTTATGCTTTTTTTCAGCTTTCTAGTCTTTGACTTGAACTTGAATATTTAATTCATTAACTTAGTATAAGATCAAACTAATGACTGTATAATTAGAACTAAACTTTTTCACTATTTTCTTAGTAATTCAAAGGTTTTACATGTCCAATAGATGTTTTCAAGATGGAAAGGAAATGGAAAAATTTTGAGATGCAGTTAAAGCTTAGTGATTAGTGGAATCTACTAAATTGACTAATCACTTGGGCTTATTAGTCGATTATTTTAACATGAGACTTGGTTAGTTGAAATAATCTAAAATAGTAATAACTGGAAACGCTAATTGTGATTAATTGGTTATTTTCACAAGTCATGACACTTATAGATGAAGCTGATCAATCTTTAGTTAATTGAGAATAATAATAAGAAATCATAATGGCAATATGTGGATTACTTGGACAGTTAAAATATCTGAAAAAAGTAATAATTAAACACACTAACTTCAATTAGTTGATTATTTTTGTGACACTAACTTATCTATTTGTACTTTTGGTTAATTGATAATTTTACCTGACAATAATTGAAGTAATCAATATTCATATGTAATTGATTAATCACCAAGCAGTAAATACAGTATTTATGAAAATATCAAATACTAACTTTTTTTTTTAAATTGAGCAACTTATTTGCTGTTTTTTACTTATACAAGTCAACTTTCATATATATAAAATATGCAGTCAAACAAAACCTTACCAAATGTCTTGAATTTTTTCAGAGATGTCATTTTTTTGTTTTATAAATGTCACTATACTGTAAGAAAAAAAAATATTATTAGGGTCGCAAAAGCAAATATGATACCATTACCTATAAAATTATCAGTATCTTTAGGTTTATACTCAGCTCTTGCATTTTTTAAGTCAAGAATTCAACTGACCACAGTTATGTAAGCACATTTCATTTAACATGTTAAGTTTAAAAACATTATTTATATTAGTATTACAAAAATATTTCATATATACTACTGGCTAATTATCTTGGTTGAAATAACTACTCAGAATTTAATAGAGTATAAGTTCATTCAAGAAAACATTAACTCCTGTTTGCTTGTAGTAGGAATAACTATTAAGCATTTAAAGCTTAAACTAAACATTTAATATACATAGAGTTCAGTAACTTGGCTTCTCACAAGGTGAACTGTATATATCTATATTTACAAAGTTCAACTACTCTACCAATTGAAATACATTTTTGGAAAAAGCTATTATGAAAAACTGGTTGGCCACTCTATGTGCATATGTAGGTTATTGTGTTGACACATATACAAAAATACTAGTTCATTCTATACTCTTACCTTATACAAATCTAATGAATGTAAAATGCACATAAGAAAAAAATAGCTTGTTAATATCCAACTTGCACTTATATTTTGAAATAAGTTCTTCTTCAGCAGATTCTGTGACTTTAGAACTCTGCATGCATGTCATAATTTTCATCAGGTAAAAACATCATTAAAAATAAATGTTTGGTACATATGTTAGTTTCAGTTATAACTCTACATGGTAAAAGTGTTGACATTTATCTGTATTTTAGGGACAATCCTGGGAAGTTAAACATGAATCATCTGTATTAACACAAAGTAAAAATTTACTTATTATAAAGAAACATATTTAAACTTAAAATAAAAGGTAATTATTTAATACCAACATTTTAACTTTTTTTTTTCATAAGGGTTCAATTCAATACAAAAACTGACTTGTATCAGTTTTTTGACTGCACTGTTCCCTGACAAAAACAAAAATACTTGTATTAAAGAATATTTTTTTCTGAAGTCAAAGTAATTACTTTCTAGAGATATGTCAAATAACATACTTAAGTCAGCACGTTGCACATTAAATGCTTACTTCTTTTGCTATAAAAAAAAAGAAAATTATTCAGGCTTGTGTGGAGATAAGAAAGTGAAGCCTTTGTTGAACCATAACTTGGGAAAATAACAAGTTGCTGAGATCTACAGATTAATAAAAGTAAAGCAGCTTATACATTATACAGAGAGCTGAGTACATTATATTAAAATAGTTTACACAGAGCTGAGTACGTTATATTAAAACAATTTAAAGAGAGCTGAGTACGTTATATTAAAACTATTTACAGAGAGCTGAGTACACTATATTAAAACAATTTTTGAGTCTCACACGTTACATTCCATGTCACCACAACTGGTTAAGATCTACCTGATGACTGTGCATCTTGACAATATCCCTGAAATAAATTTGCCATTACAAAAGGTTCTGTCAAAAGGCTGTCATGTCTAAAGCACAATGCTTCTCCCTGCTGGCTTTCCACAATCCATCTGGTGTATGATGACAAATGTTTCCCAGCACCTACTTCTACAGCCTGATCGCATAGAAATCCACAGGTGCTGTATCTGGCAACTTGACCAGTATGTCTTTGTATGAAATAGCTTGAATACCCTTTTCATTCTTTAGCTTTATGAGATATGCAATGACTGAAAGCCTCAACTTGAAGAATTCACATCCTGTTGATGATGTTTCCAGACAAAGCAAGTATTTCTTTGTCACACAAGGGGGCCAGAATATTGGTCTAGCTATAGCTTATAGTAAGCAGAGTTTACCTAGACCGTCATTCCACGCTCTTGATCCATAGCTTGCCCCTGGCACAGTATCTACTGATGACAATAAATTTGTTTGAAAATGTTTTACAACATGTATGTACCACTTTTGGAATTTTGTTTTTTGCCTACAGATCAGTAGAAAATGACAAGGGGGTCTGTTACAGTTAGCAAGGTACACATATGCTTCATTGAATGTCACTACATAATGCTGTTTTTTCCCTGCTAGGTACAATTTGTAGTTTTCTTTTCCTTTCCTAGATACACTGTAGAAGCCACTTGTGTACACATAACTTTTTTCACTTTTCCAGATGAAGGACCTTGGTTATGTTGCATACTGTTCCTTGAGACACCTGGATGGTTTTTGCCCTGATCTTTGTGTTTGTGGATTACTGCCTGTTACAAAACACTGCACTCTGCTTAACACAGCTGGGGTAAGATTTGTTGCAGGTTTCTTTCTAAATGGTCCTGGTGTTTTAAAGTTATTATTTTCCTACACTGAAAATATATTTCCAATAGGTACTTACCACCTCTCACATAATACCTTTTCTCATTCAGTGCTGCCCTTTATATGCAACTTTTTTTTCACATGCCACTAGCCTTGAAACTTCCACCTTCCCCACGATCAATGTAGTTCACTGTGTCTTTACATGTAAACTATCATGCAACAACCTTCCACCAATTGGAGTGCGACACAGCCTCCTGACGCACGTTACTCCCTCTATTGGATTTCACCTTGCCATCACTTCAAGATTAGGTAGAAATTAATCACTGGCAATGGGGATGAAGTGTGAGAAAAGGTAAGTACCTACTGGAAATATATTTTCAGTGTAGGAAAACAATAACTTCTGATACGGTACCTTACCTCCTCTCACATTGAAAAGATGGACAGGTGCGAGTGATATAGATAAGCATCCTTCAAAGGCATCTGAAGCAAAAATGATGGAGTGTGAACCCCCACTGGGAGAGGAACACATGTGTGAAACCATACCACTTCTGTACCAGGTATACTCTTTGCCCAGTGTGGTAGTAAGTGTTGCATAAATGGGCAGAAATTTTAAGGATCACATCCAATAAATGAGAGAGAAGTTTGGGATGGTCTGACCCCACATCCAACTGAAATCTCTGGAATTATAGTCCAGAAGAATGAATGAATGTAGGGTCCCCAGCCACAGACTTGATGTTGGGAAAGCTAAAAAAGGATATGCTCCTTGGTGTAGAATGGCTAGGGTGCAACAAAATGTACATGATAGGTCAACTCCAGTCCAAAGCCAGGCAGCATCGGGCATACATCTTCCAACCCATGGTAGGAGCAGGGTCCGCACCATCTTCACCTCAAGTTGAGTAGAATGGAAGGAGAAAATTCTGTACTGGTTGACTAAACTGAGCAAAACCAACACCAGCCATTCGAAAACCTGACATCTGAATGACAGTAGGAAGGGATGTGCCACTGTAGCAGTTTACTTCAAATCCAAAATTAATTGGACCAGTTCCACTGCACGTAACATCAGCCTCTGGGAGTGAGCCTCACTGAGGAACTACAGAAGCTGGAGTATATGAATGCCTGGCTGACTACCGCAGACACCACGGTCCTGGGACAAATTGGGTTGGATCCATGAAATATCATCCTCTGGGACCCACCACACAGAGGCAAAATCCCATGACTGACATTGGATGAGGAATCATAATAAACACATGTATGAGGATTTATGTTGATTGGTCCTGTTTGAATCCAAAACCACTCACTGGGAACTGACATCCAGTAAATGTTAGGCATACAAATTTTAAACCAAGTGGGTCAAAGTACTCATTTGATGACATTTTTACAAGAGTTACATTCAAAACTTCATTAAACAACTTTACTATTAATGTATGTTAATACACTTGGCATCAAAACTTATATTTCAATATAAGTTTTAATTTCTTAATTTAAAAAAAAGTTTAAATAAATTCTCAATCTACACTTCTCTGTATCACATTGTACTTCACTCTCAATTGCTGATTTTAGATTTTCTTTATACCCCTATGTTATCTTCTGAGTTTGGCACAAATTACACACTTATACTATAGATAACAATGAGCCATAGTGTAAATTTATAGTCTACAAGCTTCTTCCTTTACTAAAATATAAACAAGAACATCAAACGTATATGCTACACCCTCCTATCATATCCTGTCTTTCAAAAAATGTTGATAATTCTCTCTGACAATTGCTATTTAAATATTTGTAACCAATAGTAAGAGAAGATTATACTTTATTGAATTCTCTACAAGGCTAGTTTGTTCTGGTGAAAGGTTATGAATTATATGTCTCAGTTTCATTGTTTGTACTGTGGAAGTCTGTAAAATCAGATAATGGAAAAAAAATTGTAACCCATTGATAGCTTTGTTTGAAAGTTTTATTGTTATAAAAGTAAATAAAATGTAAAAATAAGATACTTATTGGATTAGGTAAGAAAGCTTACATGAAAAAAATATTTAAAAACATTACTCGAAATAACACAAACACATCATGAAGTGTGATGGTGTAATTTGACCTTGTTCACTGGTAACTTGATCCTTTGTTTACACAAAGATGTTCTGCTGTAATAAACAGCTTTCTGCATATTCTGAGGTCTTAAGTGCAGCTGTAAAGCAATAAAATTAAATGAACATAGATTTGAAAAGTCTTATAGTTTTGCTGTAAGAATGCATTAATTCCTTTTGGAAATCATCTCCATCCCAACCTGCAGTGGCTATGGCATTTCACCTTGCTATACTGACAATTGGCCACAGATACTCGCCACTTCTTCTGTTTAGCAAACAGTTGAGCCCCTAGCTCTTTATCTAAAACCATTAGAAGTCTGGACTTAAGCATGTAGTCTGCTTATAATTTCATTAGCATCTTCTCAGTTCACAGTTTGTGGGACAGCCACACCATGATAAAATAACTCTTTGGCATCATCTTTGTAAGGATCAATTTTTCACTTTATACTGAGCACTACATTTTGGACCTAGTCCATCCAAGTGTAAACTGCCTGTATCTTCAAATTTTGAAATGTTAATTATGCAACCAAACTATCTTTATATGACACCTAGGGATCTGGTTGCATGTATTTGCATGTTAATTGCAATGGGGTTTCCATATTGCTTGTTCTTTCTTAAGTTCCTAATATACTTTTGACCAAAATACATGCATATATATATATATATATACACATACACAAAACACCAACAAATAGCTGTTAGTAGTGTTGTATCTTGGCAATGACACAACTAGTTTAAACATAGGAAGCATATTGGATAATAATATTATTCTTGACAATTTGATTGGGGAAAAATTATGTAAAGTACAATTAACCACATTTTCAAAAATACCTTTTCTTGTAAACTGGTTGTGCAATAAGCAAAAACAACAACATGGAATCTTAGAAACATACCCAAAGACTTAATGATTTCTTTAAAATACTTTTATACAATACCCAGGTTCTTATAGAGTTTCACTGGTATGTTCACATGCCAATAAAAAGAATACACTTTAAAATAGGGCAACAATTGGTAGATGTACCAATGGAACCTTGGTGAACAGAAATAAGAGGCTACTGAAAATGGTCACCAAAAGGTGCTATATATGCTCAATGTGGTCGCCATTCACATCAGTAATGGCCTGAATCCTTGGGAAAGGCAACTGAATGAAGCTGTCTGATATTCATCATGGCTTCATGCTGCTGGATGGCATCTACATTCATCAACATAGTAGGTACTCTATGATAAACATCTGACTTTAAGTATCCTCATAGCCAAAAATCAAGTGAGCCAAAGGTTGCAAACCAATGTTTTCTGTGGTGCTTCCTGTCTTTGAGAAGATCAGGATCGCCATGAAGACACTTGGAAGTAACTACCATTGTCAGCAGATGAAGAAAACATTGTTTCATGGCAACATACTCAAGCCACTAGGCATATTGCTTTCATCCAGTCCAATTAGCAGCCTAGATGTTGGACTAAAATACATAAAACCAGACTTGGAAGATGATCAGACTGAAGCCATGGGCATGATTGCGGAGTTAGCTGAACATATTCTTAAAGTGAATGCAGTAGTTGTTTTGTGATTTAGCCGAATACAGAGCTAGACACAAATTATAATGCAAGAAACCTCTATGGAAGACATCAAGCATTACTTCACATTGAACATGGTAGAAAGGATGATAACCATTTATTTAAAATTTCTGTGCAAGTGTAAAACATTCTTCTCACAGCATCTGATTAGAAGTTTTTCAGTTACATAAAAGCAAAAGAATCTCGGAAGGAACAGCCACATTTGATTTTCTCAGTAATTTTTCCTCCTCCAAGGTGAGGACCTGGGAAGTGGCAACAGTGTGGATTGGGAACAAACAGCAAAATTTGACAACTATAATTGTATATATATGTAAAAATACAACATTTTTCTTAGGGATGTACGTGTCAACAACTACATGATCATGCCAACAGAACTGTAACAAAAGGATAAATGGTATCATTTTAAAGTGAAAATGTCTCCAGCTATAGCATCCAAAAGTAAGGAATATTCTGCTTATCAGACATAATCAAAACAACAGATACCAAACTAGAAAGCATGCTACAGATTCGAGAAGGGGTTAGGATCTGGGTGCTATGACCCACAACATCTGAGATCTCACTATCATTCACCATCTGTAGCCAGTTGTGGGAATGGGAATGATAAGTATCCCTAAAGACATCATCAACCACCATTAATTTCTATAAAAAATTAGATCATCCAGTTTTGGAATTAGCTAACAAAGATTCTGAGACTTTACTATCTGTTACAACATAATGCAAAAGAATGATATGGTATTTTCAACATGAATGGCACCTTACAGAAAATGAGCTAATCAGCCAGGTCAAAGATCCCGTGTGCATTCCCAATTTAAAATAGCTGACCAAAAGTTATTTACTCAGAACCAGTTGCCTACATAGCTACACTTAACCAAACAGCAGGACTGATTATCAAGGTTTTAACATTCCAAGAGCTCAAAGTGTGGCTCATGTTTGGAAGCATACTGTGGCTCAAACTTTGTAGCTTCTAATCCACAAACCACCACATTGACCACAAGAGCACATTCAGCCTGTAAGAAAACTAAATAATGTCCATAATGGATGGTGTTGCTCATTTGCTGGAAAGACATTTATTTTAGCATAATTAAATCAGGGGTTCATCTTTCTGTTATACAGTCCAGATGAATTTCTCACATATTTAGCATCATAACAAATCAAGATGCTACAAAAGTTGCTCTCATCAGGTGTTGAAACTAAAACACTTAGCTCAAACAGTTGTATTAATGCTAATTCTTTTCCAAGCAAGCAAATATCTCTCCTCATTAGAACTCCTCTGATCCTTAAGCCTATAGATCAAGGAACTTAGGCTGTCGGTACACAGCTTCTGGCCATGCTTCAGTTTACAGCACAATCGCATCAGGTCAATGGCTGAGCTAAGCATGTACATAGATGGTTTACCAGGATTCTGCCTTTGGATTTTTAAGTCCTGGGTGATTCTCATGGCCAAGCACTGAAGGCATCAAGCCATAATAGGCAAGTCCAGGAGCATGCAACTCAAATTTTGTGCACAGAATAGTCAAAACATGCAAAAACTGATATTTTTTTAACTTTTTTTATGCAAGGCAACATTTAACAAGTTTTATTGAAGTTTGAGTGTCAGTACATACACAGGTAGTGCTGGGTACACATCCGTCATCAACTATGGGCAGAACCCTAGTTTAAATGTAATTCACCTTTTACTCAGTTCAAGTAGTCACCAAGAAAAAAAAAGTTGATTTATGTATAATGGCAGGTACAGATACTTAAGAAGGCAACCACAGAGGCAGACTCTTAAGACTACACATGGACTTAAAGAGGAGATTCGAGACACTTCTACAAGGAAATTGTTAAGCCAGAAAAAAGAACAAAAGCAATGTACTGTGATGAATATCTACACGATTTAAAGAGAAAAAGTGAATTTCTTTATAAGGACAGGGCTTAGGAATACTGGGAAGACACAAATATTTAATTGAACTTCATACATATACTTCTTTCACATATGTACAGATGAAGAACATAAGAAGAATGCTTAGTGGCAAAAGCCAAGTCTCCCTATCTAGATCATCCCTTCATGCTATAAAAACATATTGGGATTCAAAATTATTAAAAGTTTAGACACTTTTCTCAAAGGTGATCTGTTTGGATGGAGAAAAGGTTGGAAATGCAGACTTGAAAGTTAAAGATAAAAGATTTATGTTTAGAAAGCTGATATATAACTTGTTCACTTGTTGTCATACAAAATTATTTTGAGTAAAAGTTATAAACTTCTGGAATGGTTTGCTTGATAATATACGTGACTTGTGTACATATAAATTTGAATGGGTTATATTTAAATTTATTTTGATGTTTTGGTGAGGGAGTGACCCTAATGGTCTGAATGATTTTGTGTCATCTTGAATTTTCTTACGTTGTAAAATAATTTATGGATTGTTGTTGCCACAAGATATACATTTATTGTATTTCATTTTTCCAGCTATTGGATGTGAAAGTTTCTTGAAATTTCACCTAAGTAGTACAAATGATTATACCACTCATAATGCAAAACTTGGAGTTAAAAATATTTAGAAACCTGGTTATTCCTCAATGTAAGGGGGACAAAACAACAAAAGATAACCATTACATTAATTTCAAATTACTCATTCCACAAATTTCCAATTTTTTTTTGTATGTTTTAAAACAGCATCTATCGGAATAATTACTTAATCTCAATCGACAATGAAGATTTTTTTAAGGTTTTAAACATTTTTTGGGACATACACATGGTGCATGTGTAATTAACATATTTGTTATTTATAATGCCATACAAGTAAATCACACTGGTCCACACCTGCGCTTCTAGCCTCGTGCTGTGTCATTCGCTGGTACACCGTACGACAGTGGTAGTAGGCTTAGTTGTTGTCACCTAGGTTAAACCAAACGTAGTAATTAATTAAAACCAAGAGAAACACCTAGCAAACCTGCATGATTTAGTTCAACATTAAAATAATCCAATATACACAATGAGCTTGAAAGAACACAAAGTGGGCTACAATAGGTTTGCAGATTTTTTAAATTATCGTATTAGTATTATGACAAATTGAAATCATACATGATACAGGATAAATAAATAATCTCCTTTGTTTCAACTAACGCCTCTTTTATTCTTAATTAGTATAAACAGACATTCACGGAGAAAACAAAACCTGAAAAGCTAAAACAAATGTACATTTTCTCATTACACCCAACTTATTTGTACGTAAAAAACCTTTGCAAGTTCGTGAATCATGATAATGATGAATTTCGGCACTCAGTTTTGTAACAAATTAAAAGTTAAATGTAAATACAGTTATAAGCGAACCTCAGACTGGTCAGTCAGGAAGTTGCCCTCCCCCAGAACAACAACAAAAAATCCATACGTTTTCGACAATTAATTGCTTATTTTTATAGATCAGTTGTTATAGTACCTGCTTTCATATGCACATGTAAACGCTGCTGTAAAAAATATCTTAAACGAACACTTTTCAGTTTTTGCTCATCCTTTCTAATGACCTATAGTTTAGAGTAGGTCACATATGACCCTGTGCTGCAGGATAGTCTCAAATTATAATTACTTGGAATATTTATTCGTTTATATATATATATATATATATACACATATAATTTTAAAGTAAATATTCATTGCTATTTTCTAATTAACACCATGAGTTTCACCAATAGGCGCGGTCACGTGGTAGGTGATTGACCAACCTCAAATCTATAATAAGAAATATTTCGTGGTTTCTCTGTAATTTGTGTTAAATAAAGAAGAGCGTTAACATGGCGTGATTAGCGATATAAATAGGCATAAAACAAAACCTTATAAATTCAGAGACCCGTGCAATGAAAGAATGTTTAAACTTCTAAAATATATATTCATTTTAATTTTTCAGATAGGCTTAGTTATTGTTGTAAACTATATTTGCAATGTTGTAATTTATATGTTCGCTAGAGGGCTTATAACGTTAAGATCACTTAAGTTTATAAAAGTAGTCCTAGAATATCTAGGATGTTTGTGAATATGAGTGATCGAGAGGGTTTGCAAAGTTTTTATAAAAGAAGGTTACGTTATAAATACAAGAATCAGTGAAGCATTGAGTATGCTTTTCAGTTGGCAGAACGTCAGTCATTCAGTGAAATTTTTTGATCAGTGTTAGTTATTACTATATTCAGTTACTAAATCAATTAGCCTTGATGTTGAAATTCTATTAGTAAGTTTATTTATACTATAGGCCTACAAGTATAAATGTGGACAAGTGATAGTATTAGTACTCTGTGGCAAATGCTAAAGAAGAAATAAACTGATTTGTTATTGTTACGTGGACTGGACTTCCAATAATTTTCACCAAGTAATTGAAAAGAACCCACCTAACGAAAGACAGTACAACATTTGTGTCAGAAGTGGGATTATTTTGGTGAAAACAAAAAATATATAACTTAGCTCAGTTTCAACACGACAACGAAATCCAGGATTGAGATTGAGGCTTTACTAAAAATACTTAAAAAATTTAAGAGGGCCAAGAAGAAAGAGGCATAAAATCAAAAGAAGATCTAGAAGAAAGAAACATAATATATAAAAGAAGAAAGAGATAAAAGAAAATCAGAAGAAAACCAAGAATATATTTTAATAGAAAAATGGAAGAAAAAGAAGAAACAAACAAAAAATTAAAAGAAAAAAGAGAGAAGTCAAAAAAAGAGTCAAGGTATTTAAAGAATAATTGAGAATAAAAATAAATCTGATGGAAGAGAAGACTGATAAAACACCTGGAGAGTTACAGAGAAATTACAACAAATATATTGAAGTAATACATAAAGACAGTAACAAAGTGGAGCAAACCTGTAATGAAAAAGTTGAAGAAGTACTTTTAAAAAGAAATCTTTGAGGTAGAAAAGAAGTAAAATATTTGGAAAACGAATTGTGGATGCAAAAATGAAATCAGCTACACCTCTTTCTGTATCTTCCCAATAATTTCAACCTAAAACACCATTTACTGCAAAATATAGAATAGAATAGCCTATTTGGCCTAAACATTTTACCACTACTGCTGTGCCATCTGTTATTGCAAGACCTTTCTGGACTACTTCAATCATATCACTACAAAATCTGTTTCCAGAATTTAGCTGACCAATTTCACAACATCACCCAATTGAGAAACCAATGGACTATGATGAAACGATAGCATGGGATGAATATTAGGCTCACTTTGAAATAACTTCTGAAGAGAACAGATGAAATAGTGAACAATATGCTATTCATCTTGCTACTCATTTAAAATGACCAGCTTTGACAGAGTTAAGTAATCTTCCAGCTGAAATCCACAAGATCTATCTAGCATTGATAGTGGGTAGCTGCCTTATCCAACAGGTTTGGAGTGATACACCAGAAGGAAGTGTTCAGAACAAAGATGTGAGGCTGTACAGGTAGTACTTCAACATCAAAGATCATCACTAGCAGTCACCTTTGAGGAAAAATGTAGGAAATCGGATATAAATTTCTTGCCTAATGACAGCTTACCATCTCACTTACAAGAACCGTATAATCAGAGCTATAAAAGTCTTATAGCTGATCAGTGTCAGAGATTACATGACTTGCACATGGAATATCAAGACATCTTCTTCAATAGACCTCATGACCTAAGCTGAACTACAATATCTTACAAGATTTATATGGGAGATGTAGCCCAATATGTCAGTAAGTCAGATATTTCAATTTCCAAAATGGTTGAGGCTTTCAAAGAAATAAAAGCCACGAAGAAAAAACGAGTGATAGAACCAAATACTAATCCATGTGCATCACCTGTTGTACTTGTGAAAAAAAGAGATAGGTCTACAATGTTTTCTACATGGACTACCAGAAGGTGAATGTAGTAACAAAGAATGATGCCTACCCACTGCCAAAGATGGAATCTACTTTGATTGATCTATCTGTATCAAAAATGAATATTTGCAAATTGACAAAACAAGTAGAGAGAACACAGCTTTTACTAAAGAAAACGGATTGCAGCAATTTGTTGTAATACCATTTGAATTATGCAAAACACCTGCTACATTTCAACATTTAATGGAGTCTGAACTACTAGGAAACATCATACTCATCCATTTGTATGATAAAATTGCATGTAGGAATACCTTTGATAATATTTATGAAGGGCTGAGGAGAGTTCTGGATTGGTTGAGGAAAGAAAACCCTTAAGTTGAATCCAAAGAATGTGAAATTGTTCTGTCAAAAGGTGAGTTTTCTGAGACACATAGTGAGCAGAGGGAGAATGTCTACAGATACATCGAATATTGACTTTCCAAATAACCTGTATGAGGTTATAAAAATCATTTGAAAAGCCAAATAACTTTTGTTGGACTGCTAATTGTGAACAAGCATTCAATAAACTAAAAAAAGAATTGGACACTTCTCCAGTATCAACATAACCAATTCTTGAATATCTAATCCATTTAGATAAAGATGCTAGCGATTTTGTAGTGGGAGCAATTCTATCACAAGTACAACATGGAAAAAACATGTGATTGTCTACTATAGTATGGCAAGGCATGCTGCAGAAAGAATGAATTGTACAATTTGGAAAAACTTCTAAATATGATTCTAGTCTCAAGTCATTTCTGCCATTACCTATATGGACAAAAGTTTACACTTTAGATAGAAAATACACCATTGAAATGGCTGGTGATATTTTGCAACCCAAAAAACCACATAGCAGGATGGCTCAAAGAACTCCAGGATAACAACTTGAATATCAAAAATTGGGAAAAAAGGTCCTCATGGCAAACAGTCACTCATATAACCCAAACACAAATATGTATTGGGTACAGTGGGATTCACTGTGCTTACAAGAGGGCTTGTTATATAGGAAATGGAAAGATACCAGAGTATAGAAACAATTATTACAGCCTTTGCATTCTGAAGCACCCCACAATCTTTTAACAGCTGAACACTTAGGTGTTAAGAAGATATTGTAGAGAGTAACATAATGCTCCTATTTCATTAAGTGTCAGGGATTTGTAGAGAACTGATGTGCAACATTTGAACTCTACTGTGAACAAAAAGGTACATGAAAGAAAAAGCATGAACAGCTGTAGCAGTATTGTGTTGGAGCACCATTTGACTGATTTGCTGTTAGTGTGTTTAGTCCTCTGCTACAGAGTAAATGTAGCAATCAATATAATATGGTTGTGATGGAATATTTCACGAAGTGGCCAGAAGCATTTATTGTTATTAACCAGGAAGCAAAAACTTTAGCCAGGAAATTCGTCAATGAAGTTGTTTCAATATTTGATGTATTTATAGAACCCCACTCAGATGATGTAGTAGAGAGATACAACTGCAAACTGTTAAATAAATTAGCTATATATATATATATGGATGAACATCAGAAAATGTTAAATTGAGATTTTTCACTGTTACTGATGAGTTATTGTACAGCAGTACGAGAAGCTACAGACAACACACAATCATCATTGATGTTTGGAAGAAAACTTAAGGTACCATTGGACTTTCAGTACTCTCATCTATATAATAGTAATTCAGAAGAGCCTTACACAGAATGCGTAGAGAGGTTAAGGAGCATCATCGATGTCATACATGACTTTACCAGGGAAAGACTTAAGGCAACTAGTGATAAAATAAAAATTGGCAATGATTTTAATGTTGATAAGATTGAATTCCATTAAGATGACATTATATGGCTGTAAAATCACTGCCACAAAAAAAGGACTAACTCAAAAATTAAGAAGGTACTGGGAAAAGCCATATTTTGTGCTGAAAAGCATCCATTATGTACCTTACAGAATCCAGAAAGATAGATGATTCAAGCCAAAGGTCATCCACCAGAATCTGCTTTGGAAGTACTTCAGTGAGAGAATGGCCAGCTGGGTTCCTCCAGATAAGAATTTGAAAGTGGAACTCAACCTGCTGAGGAGTCCAAGGTTCCTGTTTAAACCTCTTCACCCAATCACTTATCTGGGAAGACCCCCACCCCCCGAGCAACAGGACAGACAGTGATGTCAGGATACAAGGGATCATCGCATCTGTATACCATGTGCCTCAGAAGAGTAAAACACTAAAAAGACTTGGTGAATGGACAGTTTAATGTAGTGTTTTTACTTTTGTATCGCCCCCTAGTGACACGGTGGTATGTATGTGGACTTATATTACTAGAAACCGGGTTTTGATATCCATAGTGGGCAGAGCACAGATAGCCCTTTGTGTAGCTTTATGCTTAATAACAAACAACTACAACAACAATTTTTGAAGCATTGAGTAAGTTCTTCAGTTGCCAGCATTCAGTAAAGTATTTGGATCAGTGTTAATTACTGCATATTTCAGTTACTCAATTGATTAGGTGTTAAATTATACAAGTTTATTTGTATGTTAGTTGTAGTACCGTTAGTGAGTAAAGTTCAGTTGAAAGTTAAATTTTTGTTGGGGAACTAAGGCCTACACGTACAACTATGCAAAAGTGATAGTATTAAGACCGTAGAAAACATTAAGGAAGAAATAAATTAATATGTTATTGTT